TGACTTCATTTCTTTTGATATATATTCTGAAGTGGAATTGCTGGATCATATGGTAGTTCTATTTTTAAGTTTTTTTCACACACACAAATGGTAACTGAGTGATGAATGTGTTTATTAATTTGATTGTGATATTTTATAATGTATGCATATCTCAAAACATCACATTGCACACCTTGAATTGTATAATTTATATTTGTCAATTATACCTAAACGAAGCTGGAAAAAAGAAACATTAAGATTATGATCATTCAGAATAGGCTGCAGCACTGATATAACACTTACGCCTTGCATCCATTAGAGTATTAACTTTCAATTCTATTAACACAACTGGTCTAAGTAGAAGGAATTGGTACTTAAGAATTCTGGAATAACCTCAAGGAGGGAGAACCCAAAGCAAAATGATATTTTTTTTCCTCAGAGAAAATGAATAAAATAAAGCTTTGTATGAGTGTACTTGTTGGTCACCTCAACCATTAACTATGACACTGAGTATTGTAGACTTCTGGTAGTAAATAAGGTTGGCACTTACAATGATATGCATGTAAGCTCTTCCTCAGTAAGGGCATGAAAAGCTGTCATTGCTCATAGGTCCTGCCATTTTGTGTTCTGAGGAAGGCCCAGAATAATCCATTTGGTAGAGAAAATATCTATTTGGTCTCCTCACTCTTTTGCTAGGGAAGGTGCCTATGTCCTCTTGTAAAAAGATGTACTAGAACAAACACTAGAAAAAGAGCTCTTTTGTATTATTTAAAAATATAAATTTTTAAAGTAATATTTTTATCCTGTGTATCCTTTGTTTAAAAAAGGATAATATTTTTGAAAACATATTCATACTTCCCATAAGGCAATAATAATACATGGGTGCTTTTTAAATTTTATACTAGTCACAAAATTTTATTACAAATCACATTATAGGCTTATTTTTACTATAACTTGAGGAATTAGGGGGCATGTTCATTACATAACAAAGTGTTTGTGGCCGAATTAAAATTATAAACATAAGATAACAATGAAGAATTCAATGAAAAGATATGTGTAGGAATGGTATGAATTTGTATGAGAAAAGCTCTATAACTTCAGTTTACTTAATTATTTCCTTAACCTTTCAAGTAGTCTTCATTAGTTCTATGTTATGGATATATCAGAGCTAAAACATCATCATACACAGTGTGATATTAAGTAATGTCAATACACTCAACCTTCCTTTAAACACACCAAGAAATGAGACTAAAAATCCAGAAAAACCTTGATACCAGTTTAGCTCCACCTTAGTTCAAGTTCTATAGGGATTCCTACCTCCCTATATACCACTACTATCTTATATCCCCACTCTCCTCTAGGTTCCTTCCTCCACAGCTTTAGAAGCAGCTGTAGCTAGCCCAACCTCATATTAAATTATCTGGAACAAATTCCCATCCCCATACCTTGAATAAGGACAGAGACCAAGAAGAAGGTGTCAATAGTGTCTATAACTGTAGACACCATAATGTCTATAACTGTACTGGCATTCTGTTGGGCTTAAATGCAAGGGTAAAGACATCACAGTCAGTCATCTAAGAAATGCAATTCAAGAAGCATTTTAAGGAGTCTTACCTCAGAATAAAAACTCTCTCTCCTCTTAATGCATCAGATTTCATAACTGGTGATTTATTCCCAATCTCTCCCAAAATCTATGTGTTTTTTTAAATTATTTCAGGGAATATGTTGTAATGATTACTTGGTGTCTTTCCTGATGTTTTGATATCTATCATTTTTATATATTTTTTAAATTTTCTTTTAGATTTATAAATAATTACATATATTTATAGGTACAATGTGATGTTTTGGCATATGTTTACATCTTAGAATGATTAAATAAAGCTAATTAACATATACATCACCTAACACATGTTTGTGGTAAAAGCATTTAAAATCTACTCTTAGCAATTTTGAAATATACAATACATTATTATTAACTATAGTCACCATTATGTACAACAGATCACTAGAACTCATTCCTCTAATCTAATGAGAACTTTGTACCCTTTGACCAGTCCCTTCTGCTCATTCATAGATCTCCCCTAGAAATATAAATTCAATATTGTCATAGTCAATATAGCAGAACTATTACCCTACCAAATACATCCTGCACAGTCTATCATTTTGACAATCTTAATGTATGTTAGGAATAAGAGAGGTACATAAGTGTACATTATTATAATCTTTCTTAATTCTTTAATTTTGCAAGCTCCCCAGTTTAATTCATCATTTTCAAACTAACAAATATTTTCTGAATGAAAATTATCCCCTAACTAATGTTTTCTAAGCTAAGGTACACCTACTTTGTTTTGTTATTAAAATCCATCTATAGATAGAGCTAACAATCTTCCAAACCTATAAGATTCAAGAAAGTCCATAAAGAGTAACAATATATGTTGGTGCTGCTAATAGTGTAATTTTCTATGTCACACTTTACATCATAAACATAATAATAATAACAGTTTAATTCATAATGGGATTAAATAAATAGAATAATGATAAAATACATCTCATATTTATTTTGTACTTTTCCACTCCTAAAATATTTTAGTTATGATTGATTTTTATTTTTCATTCCAATACATCTCTCAAACAATATGACTGTATTGCCAATTTGAGAAATAAAGAAACCTGACTCCTAAACTTCAAGTGACTTTTCTAAGACCACAGTGGGGTTTAGTGGTACAATCAAGCCTAGAAGTGAGGTCTACAAATTCTCAGCCTATGTTCCTTCAGTGGATTCAGGATGTTCTACCCATTAAATTTATATCACACTTTCTCTTCTCTACCAAAATCCAGAAAAGTCTTTTACCAAAAAACAAATCAAAATGAAAGACTAAATAATGATTTTTCTAAACACTGGCAGTCTCAATACCAGAGCATTCTTTTAAAATACATTATGAGCTTCAAACTCCACCCAAACTTCAACAGACAGCGTTATATAGGTAATAATCCCTGACTAAGCATGATAATATATTGGATATACTAAAATAACAGCTTCCTGCAAATCCCCAGGAATTTTCAGTTTAAATACTGCTGGTCTGCTCTGACTCCTTCCCTCTGAATTGACTGTGGAAAAGGTCTTCAGTAAATCAAATTTTTATAAATCATCTTCGGTTTTCTCTTCAGATAACAGAAACTTTTCCACCTTTATAATAACATTGTAATTCACCATGAATCAAATGCCAAATCAAAGCTAAGATACTAGTAAGGAAAGTGTCTTTAATCTTACATTTGATCAGAAAATTAAAAGCATTACAGTCAGATGCCCCATAATTTATGACCTGCTTATTTGAAATTATTTTCTTTTACAATTACTGTTATAAAATATGCCCATATCAAAAGATAAATAAGAGTAACAACTTGAAAGTTTTTGGTCATAAGGGCAATTTTTACAGGAAAAATTGAGAAGGGAAATATTAAAGTCATTATGTTATCAATAATAATAATATTTTCTAAGCACCTATTCTTTGCAAGGAATTGTAATGAGTGTTGTTAGATACAAAGATGAATAAAATATCACCTCTATCCTTCAAACAAATTGCAATTTGATACATAAAAAATAAAACATGCATGCATAAACACACACATAAATGTATGCACACACAAACACAATTAACACACAGAAAGTGCTTTGAAAAGCAAAGGAAATGTTATGGGAGCACAGGGGAGGATGACATTTCTTCTTGCATTAGTCCTTTTCTGAGTAGTTTGCAAATGCAAACCCTGAAAATTAAAAGGAAATAACTCACAGAAGAAAAAAAATAGCAATTGCAATTGAGAAAACGTGGCATTTCCTTCCAAAAGCAGGAACCAAGGTCTTAAACCACTCAGTGAGGTTGGCTTCATTTTTTTAAACTTTTATGACATTAAAAATTTAAAAACTCAGAACCAAAACATGAACCAAAAAATCTGACATTTCCTCTTGCTTTGAAATTATTCTGCACTAAAATTATTATTTTGAGATAATGGAAATTATTTTATAATAAATTCTCACATATATTGATGTATCAGATAACTGTACCATTTCAACTTAATGTGAGAAAAAAACTTATTGTACTGAAGCTATGTTATAGATGGGGAATTAAAACTTTAAAAGATACTATGATTCTGTAATAATAACATATTTTTGGTACCTAATGCATTTTACTTAACACAGCAGAATATGCTAAACCATCTTTACTAATCACTGCGTAAAGAAAACACTGCAATACTTGAAAGGTTTATAGTACTTAATCATCTTTAAAAGAGTTTCTATAGTCAAAAAAACTAAAGACTACCAATCTTTCTCAAAATACTCTTTAGTTTGATACTAATAAAGATACCTGATAAAAGAAGTCTTTGGATCTCTCCTTGTTAGGTCAGTTAAACATATGATTCATTGAGTATTTATTAATGTGAACAACAAGTGATGGAGGTAGGCATAGCTTTTGTTCTCAAAGGCTAAGTGTCAATTAAATGTAATACATTTTAATTAATAATAAAATTAAGTTAATTGCACTTAAATACTCCTTTCATTGCACCTATTCTTCTATACAATCAATTCTCTCCAGTCAACATTCCAACAGAAGAATGTAAATTGTATCTATTAGTGCATTTTACTGTTCATCTCCTGTCATTTCAGAATGTTTGGTTGCTTCCAATAATGATATATCAATTCTATTAAGTACAAAATCATGCATTCATATATTAATGGAAATGTGATTAATACATTAATTCCAATATTCATACAAGAAACATGCTCATCATATGATACTAATCAAGACAAGGAAATTATTCTAGAAATGTGTTTATTAAGACATAATGTTGTGACCTTAAAGTTACAGATTTCAGGTGCAAAGCTTTAATATTAAAGCACTTTTGCAAAATAATATATGTTTTTATGTATGAATATTCTGTGAAATCTGGGAAGCTGAGTATGTAAAAGAAGATGAAATGTTACCTTCAGAGACAAGATTCTAAGATGTTTGAGAACATCTTACCTTCTATCCACACACGAACTTCACTGGGAGAAGATATCACAGTAGGATCTCCTTGGAAAAGATGAAATGATTGGGCCATGTCACAGAATGGATAAATAGAGATAATCTTCTGGGGGTTAATGTTTAAGGCTTTGATAATCTGAGTACCTAAGAATGAAATAATAGAACTTAATCAAGTTCAGTCCTTATTTATTCCTACAGACTGAATTCTGTTAGCATATCTTATAAGGAGTGGGAGTTTGGAGGAAACTAGTCCATCAATAATTAATAATTAAACTATTATTTATTGAGTGACTCTTTAGTAAAATACACGAATTCAAATATAAATCTAACACAACTCCTATCCCACAGAAATTGTGAATCTAATAAAAACGATCAAAAACATACCGTGTTGTTAATTAACTTAAGACCAGTGGCACAGGAAGAAAATGTTAAGGAGTTTATGCTTAACTGCAAGGAAAAGGGACAGATTTATTCATCAGGTAGTATCTGAGTCAAGCCAAAGAAAATTAGATGAAAAAGAATCTTGAGGAAAAAAGCTGCTTTACCTATATCCTGAGTGTCTTGTACAATACATGGAGAGAAAAATGAGAAGAAAATCTTTCTAGAATGTAAAACATTCTTATGGAAATGTGATTCATTATTAGTCTTGGAAGTTTTGAGGCTCCAATTTGTTGCAGCTTGCAGTGTCCATGACTATATTAGTCAGCTCTTGAAACCCACATTAGGGAAGATATAAATGACATAATAACAATTTAAAAAAAATAGGATTGCGATAGTGCAGCTGCTCTCAGAATCAACTGTTTTTCCCTTCTATTTACTGACTTCTAACTAAATTTTATGACTATGTATGTAAAAATGCCTTACAAATGTAAATCTCTAATGTCCATGTTAAACAAATGTCTAAAATCATAGCCAAAAGCCCTTTCTAAAAAAAAAAAAACATGTTTATTATAGGACTCACTTTCCCAGCCTAAATAAGTAGGACCAAATTAGATGTGTGGTGCTGTTTTACTTTTCCCCTTTTTCACTTAGCCCAATTTACTCAGACTCTGCCTTGCATAGCCACTTCTTGAACTACTTCAGGGCATTTTGTGTTTACCCTTATCTTACCCTTCAAGAAAACTGGATTTCAATCTAAATCTCCTTTAAACAGCAAAAATGGCAACAGGCTGACAGGCCTTCTAAAACAGTACTGCCCAATAGAACTTTCTGCAATGTTGAAATAGTATATATTTGCACTATTCAATACAGTAGCCACTAGCCATATAGGGCTATTAAGTATGTAAAATGTGATTAGTAAGACTTGGGAAATAAATGTTTAATTCTATTTATTTTTTGCATTTCTAAAACACAGCTCTTTAATTTTTCAGTTCTACAACTACTTTTTAATATTTTAATAATCTTGATAATGAACAAAATGTAACTGCCCCAGTTCTTTGAATAATACAGATAATATCAACAAGCAGAGAAACAGAAGAAGAGGTAGGATGGGACAAAAATCCTCTTCCCCAAATCAATCCCTACACCACTTCTTCCCCAAAGAGTCAGGAGGAGAAATACCTACGCAGGGTCATAGCACTTGTCAAACACAATGGAAAAAATCAGGAGACACTTGATCACACTTTTGACACTAAAAAGTTTGGAAACAATTTTTGCTCAAAAAGAGTAGGTAAAGACAGCTATTTTGTTCAGAATGATTTCCATGTAATGTGTTTCTTGCCTATGTATTCTTAAATACCCACATGTGGCTAGTGGTTACTGCATCGGACAACACAGTCCCGGAGTTTCCAATCAAGTATTAAGGTCACGTACTTGGTGGATGATCTCAGACTGAAAATGAAGGCTGCTAGGGGAATTGGAAGCTCTGAAAAAATATTTATGTTTATTGTCGTATTATCTATTGTCTTAAAATTCATGATGAAACTAGTAAGGAACTCACCAGCACTAGCAGTTGAAGAGTAGGAAAGGCTGTGCAGAAAGGGGAAGATGAGAGATACAGGAAAGGTGATTTCGGTAGGCCACTGTTGAACTGTGAAGTCTTTTCTCAGTAACTCTAAAAAAATAAAAATAAATAAATTTAGGAAGACAAACACTTATCAAACTTCTAGCATTCAGCAAAGAGACAGTTTGTTAAAACAAAAGGGAAAACGATTTAATTACATTCAAGCATATTCAACAAATGGATAATGCATGCCTACTGTGTGCCAAGCACAGAGGAGTTCATTATTTTAAAACTTGTAGTTTTGCTTTCTATAATTGTATAATATCACCTAAAATCCTCTAATTTCAAGGAAATAATTTTTTTGTGTGCAGTGGGGGCAATTTTGCCTATACTTTTACACTATTTAGTATGTGCATTATTTCTCTAACCTACCTAAATGTTTTGTTTTGTTTTGTTTTTGGCCTTTCTAGCTTCCATCACTTTCTTCCTTTAACATCAGACAAGAGGATGACAGTGGACTGTTTTCTCCTCATTTAAAACCATATATATGTCTGTTTATATAAAACATTCACCAGGTATTTTCATCTCAGCTTTTAAGAACCAAAACAAGAAAGAAGGGAAACAAAAACTGGCAAAATAATTTTTAAAAACTTTCAGCGATCTCAGTAGTGGAGAATTTTCCTCTTCAAGACCTCAGAGTCTATTTCTATGAATATTGACTAGCTTTAAAAAGAGGTTTATTTCCAATTACATTTCTTTATGTTGAAAGGCTTGTGTCTATAAGAGGGATAAGCTGGAAGCTAGAGGGCCTCTAACTGTTAGCATTTTAATTAAGCTTAATGTGTTTTAAATGCACAATAGAAGTCTACTAACCGTATCCATGACAATAAGGTGTTACGATTTAAAACAAACCAAAAAATATATATAAAACATATCAGCTGACTCCGTATCAGCATGGAGGATTTCCATTTCCATAAAAGAATTATATAAATAATGCTAAGAGGGATCATAAAGGGTCAAGGGGATTAAAAAAATTGAGGCGATATCTAATCAAAAGACCAACCAATCTGTAGTTAGAATGGCCGCCACAAAAATGGCCCATGGCTTGATGAGGCAGCAGCCTGCGCTTGCAAACAGATAAAATTCTGAGGGAAATTTTCCTCACATTGAACTGAAAGCTGCCTTCTCAGAACTCGTGCCCCCACCTCCCTATTTTCCTACTAGTTCTGCCTCATGCTGTCCCTGTGAACGAGTCTCTTCTGTATTTCACTTCAGAAAGAGGCATCCAAAGTGCGACCCCGTCCCGTCAAATTGTCAGTTGGCCATCCTAACCGTCCCCGCACCCCCATTTTCCGTCTTCAGTTTCTCAGAACAGTTTCTCAGTCTTGTCCTCACCCAAAGTTCCCCCCACCAGTCTGCCAGGACCACCACCTGCATGTGAGGCTCGGACCTGAGGTGCCAGGCTAAGGCAGCCTGACCAGCTCAGGGCAAGGGGACCCAGGGCCGCCTGGTCACTCTCGCTCCCTCCCTGTCCCTTTGCCCAGGCTGACCTCTGCTCCAGAAATCCCCCCGTTCTGGTCAAACCGCGTCTCAGCTTGGGGCTTTCAAAGGGATACACTTCAGAGTGGTAAACGCTTTCCTGCCTCCCCCTACAGTTGCATTGGAGAGCTACAGCAGACGACCTCAATACTTGCCTCTTCCTCTACCCCCTCTGGCTAGAGGCCTGGCGGGGGAAGGGGGGCTGGATCCCCTCAGCAGCCAATCCAGCCGTTAGGTCTGGGAGGAGGGACTGATCCCGCCGCCCGCGTCCGTCCGGGTCACCGCTCACCCCCAACCCTCGGCTCGCGCGTGCCAAGAAGCCTCAGGCTGCTGGTGACGTGACTTAGCTGTAGTCTGGCTGGGGGTTGGGCGGTTGGTGGGAGAGCTGCTGTTCGCCCTTTCCTGGCACTTAATAGCTGTTTAAAAAGTTCGCTTTCCTTGAGATATTTCCTGAAAATTTTTGGGCGTTCTTTAAGGATTCTCACAAGAGGATTAAACACACACACATGGCCAAAACATACTGATGCAGATTGAGCATGAATTCAGGGGAAAAAGAAAAATAAGGGAGAAGCAACAAGTGGTCACATATTTCTAAATAAAAGGGATTGCCGTTGGAATGCTGAGCTGTAGTGAAGACATGCCCCTCTCTAGCATTTGTGGGAAATCCATTTTTTCCCCTTTCTTAATCTAACTCTATAGACCATAAAATTCAGACCCAGACTTGGGGTGGGAGGGGCAAAGAGCAGGGAGAGGATAGGAATATGTAGCCTTACCCACTGTTCCTTCTACTCTAATCATTAGTTCAAGTAGCTCCAATATTTACGTGCCCCCTGGATTTAGATAATGCTTGTTTAAAGTGGACCCAAACTAGTACCCAGCGTCCACAATGAAACTTAGAATATTTTATTTCATTTAAACACAAACCAGAACACTGCATCCCTTGACCTTGTGAATTTGTGAACCCCATTTTAAACAAAGCTGAAATTATCCTGTCATGCCTTTGAAATCCTCCTTAATGTCACATCTGAATATTCCTTTTCCTTCATCAAGTGTTCCTGGAGCTGTGGGCACCAGACATTGTACCATAATGGATGTATGCATTTATTTTTAAGGAAACACCTAAAAGCTGTAATAAACTAAATCAAAATTTCTGTTAATATTCCCATTCAATGGAAACCATTTCCCCAGGAGCTCCATGCCCCAAAAGGGGGCTGTCTGTCAACCAAAGAGAATTATTGAATGCTGAGTATATCTGAAATGAACCTGAGAAAATAATTTTGTCTGATCCCTTCATTTTGAAGATTAGGAAACTGAGGCACAGACAGAACAGACTTGTTCAGGATTACACAATAATTGAGTGGCAGAACTAGAAAAAGAACCCAGGCATCTGTACAGTGTTCCCTCCACCAAACCCCATACATACCAGAGTTAAACAGCATTTCAGGTGAATGGAGAAAGCTGTGTGAAGAAATCCCACATATGTTTCTGTCTCCCAGGATCTAAACACAAGAAAGGATGGGAAAAACAAAACAAAGCAAGACAAGACAAAACATCCAAACACTAATGATGAGAGAGAAAAAGCAGGTGATGGCGAGTGGGGAGAGGTAAAAGTAATATAGAAAAGAATTACTGTTTTACCAGCATGAAGGTATATGAATTACTTCAGACCAAATGAAATTATTAGAACCAGTTAGCAAGCAGTTTAAAAAATACTGGCTTATATCCATTTTTACAAATATAGACCTTCACCATCTTTATAAGCTGTCTCAAAGCAGCTTCTCCCCTGTTTCCTCAATCTATACATATCTACTACACAAATTTAAGACACTGTTATTGTTATTATTTACATAACTTTGGGATTCCGGAAGCCAAAATTATCTTACTTTGGGTATTTGACTGTATCATTCAAAATCCTATGTGTTCACCGAAGCTGGGTTGGAGCTGGCAGATTCAAATTATGGAAATATTACTTTTTATTATTTAATTAATGGGGGATATCTCTTTGGAGCTGGGGCATAATACTTCATTTGTTGTTATTCCCCATGGATTCAGCTTCGTGCAAGTTAATCTGATAAGCCAATCTGTGCTAATTTGTTAATAATTGTTGCCAGCCTCCCTTGTAAGATATTTGTAATTAAGCAGTAGCTTTGTGTGCTGAATGGTAATCAGGGAGACCTGGCAAGGTTTAATTACTCCTGGAGCCCCTTTCTATTTGTCCCTTGGGACTAAACACACCACCCCCCCAACACACACACGTACGTACGTATGTGTATATAAAAGAAAACAAGAAAACCAAGAATGAAAAACACAATAACAGGCTTTATGAATGTCACATCACAGATTTCAAAGGACTTTCACATGCCATCTTCTCATTTCTTTCAACCAATGTTTTACCATTTTCCAGAAAACAAGACCAAATTCTTATGTGTACATAGTCACTGCTGCATTTTATTAACAGAGTCAGTTAAATTCATGATTTGATAATAACTATTAACCAAAACTTAATAAAAGTCAATATCTCATTTTGATAAATATGACAGCTACATAGTATCTGGTGAATTTCATTTTACTACTAGGAGTGGTATTTGCAAAGAATCTCTGTCACAATCTCTATAATAAAAACCACATCATATATTAGTATAGGTATCTATAGCTTCCTAAACTATTCAGACACATTATGGATTTGCCATTTTGAAGATATTATCTCAAAAATGGAATATCTTGCTTTTTTCCATTTTTAATCTCTTCTTCACATGCAAAATCCTACCACTTAGCAGGATCAGAGTAAACATGCTATAGCAAATTTCCCTACTTTACTGTGATACAATTGAAATCATGAGTCCAATTTAACTGTATAACCACACTTAATTCATAGTTTCCATTTCATTCTTTATAAGGCTCAAGTACCTCAGACAAGATAAAACTCTGATTTCTATAAGCAGGAAAGGTTGCATTAAAAAAATCTCAGTTAACCTAATGTACAGCATGGTGACTATAGTTAATAATGAATTATATACTTGAAATTTACTAGAGGAATAAAGAATTATAGAGAAATCTTAAGTATTCTCACCACAAAATTAAAAAAAGGTAACTATGTGAGGTGATGGATATATATGTTAATTAACTTCATTGTTGTAATCATTTCAAAATGTCCACGTATATCAAAACATCACATTGCACACCTTAAATATATACGATTTTTGTCAATTATACCTCAATACATCTGGAAAAAAAAACAGTTTAAAAATCCCATTTCCCAAACATTTAGCCCTGAAATTTAGCCTTTCTAGTAAAATACAACTCTCCCCATTATAAACTCATAAATATCCTTCTGAGGATCTACATATAACATGTCATTAGTTGATCTTTTAACTTTAACTCCTGAAATATCTATTCTTTATCTTGACAATATTAGCTAATAAAAGCAGCAACAACAAAAGCACTCCACTTTTTTTCTTTCCTGTTTCTTCATTGATCTCCCATACAAGTCAGGCACAGTTGCTTACCACGATACAAATATAAATTTATAAGAAAGAGTGACTCACCTATGAACAAGCAGGAGGTTGTC